GAGCAGGCAGATGAGCGACATCTTCCCACATCCGCATAATAGTGAAATCAAAAAGAATCGACTAAACAAGTACACAGGACAGAAAATTTGCACCGGTACTTAATGGAAAGGTCAGCAGTGTTGCCCACCTGAGGACCAATGAGACAGAAGGTCCGATAATAGATTTCAAATACAAGGGGGAAAGATATCAAAAAGTTCAGCACCTCCAGCTTTTTTGGCTTGTTTTCACAGTTTAGGTAGAAAGTTCCAGCATCGCCACATTTGTACTCGTCTTCCCTGAAAAACGCTGATTTCAAGATGTTATGGTAATCCTACTGCTTTCCGCAAATCCGTCAGCAGATGTATACTCTGTGTTCGTTGCGATTCATTTCGTTTACGAAAGCAAGGGCTAGCATGTAGTTTTACTATGATAACTGCAGTTTGACGTCGCAGTTCGCGCTATGAAAGCTTATCACATAAGAATGCTGAGTTACGCGCAAGAATCGTGACCCAGGCGGGAGTCGAACCCGCACCTCACGCTTTCCGGGCGAGTGCGCTATCCGTTACGCCACCAGGGCCGCTTTTACCCTCTCAGCTTGACGGCTTTTATGCCGTAGCCTTACAGCACTCACACGTTTAGCATGGAGAGCCGGTTAGTTGATATTGGCAGTTAGCTGCGGGCTGACTGTTTTGCAAGTTTTTGAAGTAGTTTTATTAAGACGTGTAGGCTAAGGGTGGCTCGGTGGCGCAACGAATAGCGTGCGGTGCGCTATCAAGTCTTGCCTGGTGCCTAGACTTTTGTCCATAACTCAATATTTCTGCGCAAATATTTGCTCTTTGCCCAAAAAAAAACTCTACCGGTTTCAGAAAGATGCGATGTTCCAAAAGAGACACGTGAAAGTTTGACAAGAACATTAGCCGCCGTAATAAATAAGGATCAAGGAAATTTAATGGGTAACGTACGGATGGAGATAAGGAGAGTTCCGGAAATGGTGGCAAAGAACCAGACTGGGACAGAAAGAGGATTAAGAAGAAGGATAAACAGGAAGTACAGAGCAATGATATTACTCAGAGAAGGATGCAGCGTAAAATACTGAATGCAAGTAATTAAATGGAGTGTAGTTAGAGCTGGACAATGGTGGCACACAGAGGTGAAGGGAGGAATTTGGCGGCGAGGGCAAAATAAGGGAAAGGGAATCTGGACACGATGGCTTCGGGATGTTTACTTATTCCATTCATTTGTTTTTCTTTGTTTCTCGGAAGAAAGCAAATTCAAGAACCCTGCTGACGATAGCTTGGTCTCTCACGGCAGAAAAATTGAGTAATTTTCTGCATGTCAATGAATATACAGTACTGTTCGCTCAGAGAAAGGGTTCGTGTCGGCGCCTGGATCGCTAGGCTCCGATCGCGAACTTTCCGCATTTGTTGAAGCAAGCAAGTCGAACGGGTTCTGGTGTAATATAATCGTATCGGGTCGTATTCACTATATGTTGCGCTTCACCGCTCAAATCTGGTACAGAGGGTACAGAGCCGCGACAAACAGTCTTGCTCGGGGCCTTTTAACAGCTATAAGACTATTAAAAATTTCAAACAATTTGGGACTTAGCGTTCTTTGGCTTGCTCATTGCGGCACTTCACAGTATGATTTGAGTCTAGATGATTGCACGACCACTGACGAAAGGAAACCGAAATGGAAGCGACGCTGCGCAGATCACCCTCGCGTCTATGATCGTGAGCAGCAAGCGGAGCAAATGGGAGCCCTGGAAAAAGTCAGATCCTAGTCGTGTTTCATTTCCGAGTCCGACAAAAGAGTCATTAGAACTTAACTAGAGGGGTCGATTACCGTTTCAGTGGTGTTCTCATCGAAGAGAAATGGAAATATTAGAAATGGCAAATTGAGAAGCGAAAAAACCGGCTTACGGAGAGCGAGAACGGACAACGCCCGTAGAAGGTCGCGCTGTTTTCCAATTGTAATAGTTACATATACGGACACAGAGTGACCTGTACTCTCAAGGAACGGTAAACTTCAAGAAATAGATTTATGCAATCCATCAAATATACTCGCATTACAACATCACAGATTATTATGCGTCTTCAAAAAGGCGAACAAAGAAATACTGCATCATTTCCTATGACAAGCTACAACATGTAATCGTCTTTTCTGCAGACGTTGGGGCGTGTAAGGGGGTGTGCTTGGCGCGGTGGTAGCCCATTCCCTACCAGTTGTTGTCGCTTGTCCGCTTCAACGGCTGCTAAAGAACGGGTTGGCGCCGCGCCAAACGCTGCCCCCTTGTCACGCCCCAGCCTCTGCAGCAGAAACAACTGTTTATCAGGTTAATTGTATCTAGGAACATGTTCACAAAATGAAATTTTTCACTAGTAAACAGATCGAACAAACGAGAAACCATGAGAATGCCTAGATTAAGGTTGTTGTACTGCCATTGATACACTGGGAACAAGATGGAAAATTGTAGGAAACATTGCTGATATCTGCTGATATACGCCATCTGCGAGGCCTGACGGCAAGACTAGGTGAATGTTGAAATGTGGAACGCTGGTCACTCCACCACCCACCGCAGAACCACCACAAACACCACATACCTGCAAGAAGATCATCAGCCAGTGTAAAACGGGCACAATCTCGAACGGCTAGGGACCTGAGTTTCACCTTGGATAATTGACGCATTCAAAAGTAGACTAAACAACCTAGAAATGCGCACTTGGTGGTTACGAATTTTGCGTTGGTACCAACGCTGAAAGCCCTCCAAGCTTTTATCAGAAAATAGTGGAGGAACACTATTTGGTACAAAACTCGGTCACTATTGTTGGGAGGGTAGTCAACATCCAATACTCACCTCCATTAAGTAGCCTTTCACACATTTATAGACCATTTCCGCTCTTCGCACGCACCAAGCGATCGTCATATTCTGAAGCGAACAAGGTGTACTATGCAGTCGGGATTTCTTCATCTACACTCTACTTCGCTGTGGACGGTTCGGCGTGTCAGCCAGTATGAGTGTG